CAATTCCTTCTTTTCTTCCATTTCTGAGTCCTCTGCTTTTGCTTTTGCCTCAGTGGAGAAGGGTGTTAGAAACCTGAGTTGCATTCCTGCCTCCCCTTCCTTGGGAGCAGTTCTGCCCAAGAACCGGTCAAGATAGAAAGGAGGTGTATGTTACATATCAAAGCATTTCCAGGTTCTGGGACCTCAGGCGATCAGTCAGAAAGCAAGGAGGGAGAGAGGTTGTCCCTATCACCCTTCCAGAAGGCCCAGAGACATAGGGAAAGTGTCCGCATGCCCTCCTTCCCATGGCAGAGGCCAGCGCCCTCCCCCTGGTGTGCAGCGTGGGGTGAAGGTCCTCATTATGCTCTTTGGGGAAGATAGGCTGGTGTTAGGGTTATCTACACCACGCAGGATCAAAAGCCATTGGGACTGAGCCCTCTGCCGCTCTGACCAGTACCTGGGCTTTACAAGTCTAGACCTATCCCAAGGCCACAGCACAGTGAGAAGTTTGAGTAACCTAGGCAGACGCAGCGAGGGTGGACAGCTCTGGTTATCCGGACAGCAAGCTGCTACTAGGGCAAACCTCGACTCAGGGAAACTGAGCAACATCCTAGGGAGCTCGAGGCTGACAGGGCGCCTGTAACTGTCCCACGGAAAACGGCGTGTGATCGGTTCCTCTTCCCCAACCCATCTCGGGGGTCCTTGAGGCGAGGCGGAGAGCAGGCCTGTGCTAGGCACGCGGAGGCTTCCCACCTACCTGCTCGGCGGGCTGGTCCCCTCACCCCGGAAAGGCTGCAGACCAGGGATGGCTCCAGTCAGAGAGAGGGCTGGAGCCGGCTTCTGGACTAAACAGAAGTCTCTCGATCACACTCACTCTCCTCCCTGGGGCGCTCTCCTCCCTCCTCCAGCGAGTCTGCAGGGTGTCCTGCTCGCTCCGCCCCGTCCAGACCCCGACCAGTCCTCAGAAGCCGCCGAACCCCCACCCACTAGTCCTCTCCCATCTCCGCGCAGCCCAAAGGACCTCCAGAGGTGAGGGCGAAGGTGGCCAAAACCCCCAACCCCGCTACCCTTCGGGGGGTGGTGGCCAGGGGGAGGACGCAGTTAGGGCCCTAGGCACCCAGAGAAAAGTTTGAAGCCAACTGGGGCGGGGGGTGCGGAAAAGCACGGGGCTGGGGCGGCGTCCGGCTCCCGCGCACTCGCTCCTCTGCCGCCCACCAGACACGTCGACGGCCTGGTCCACGACTGAGGCCACAGGCCGCGTCCACCCGCGCCCACGCGCGACCGCAGCGGCGCGGACACACAAAGGCGCGGGCAGAGCATGGCCCGAGCACAAGCCACAAAGCCCACGACCGCGATGCGCGTGTCCGCACAAAGGCCCCAGGGGCTCCGGCCCACGCCCGGGCCACCCGGCAGAGCCTTTGTCTGCGGGAAGCCCCCTCCCCTCGGTACGGGTTCCCCAGTCCCGGAAAAGTTGAGGGGCCCCGCGGGACCCAGCCCCGCCCGCCTGCGGACGCCGCGGCCAGCTCCGGTCAGCGCTCAGAAACCGTCGCCGCAGCCCGCCCAGCGCCTGGGACTCGCACCCACCTGAAGGCTGCGCGGCTGCCGCCCGGCGCGCTCACCTAGGCGGCCGGCGTGGGCACTCAAGCTGGCGCTTTCCCGGAGCAGCGCGGCCCCGACCCCGCCCCCTGCTCCAGGCCCCCGGCCCCCGGCCCCGCCTGCCTCTACTCCCCGCGGACCCCCGCCCAGGGACGGCTGGAACCCGCGCCGGGAGGCTCGGGGAGTGTCGCCAAAGTGCCTGTCTGGCCCGCCGCTCCCTCAGCCCCACCCCCGCCCGAACCGGGGTCCCACCCTAGGGAGCGTCTCAAAAGTGCTCAGCTCCCGCCCACTCCACCAGGCCCCGCTCCCGGCTTCCTGCATCCCTGCTCCCCGCCCCCTCCCCGCAGCGCCCGAGCAGTTTCAGCAGATGGCCGCACGGTCGGGAACATCTGGAGGTCGCGAAGTGTGTGTGCCTGTGTGTGTGCGTGGCAAGGAGGAGTTGTTGGTAAGAAAGAGGATGAGGGCAAGAGGATCTCCTCTCCTCGGATTCCACCCCTGCCCCGCCCAATTTATTTTCAGCGTCGAAGATGTCTAGTTCGTGTGAGAGACTAAAGAACCTGGAGGAAAGAAACACTGGCTGACCGAGGAGCCCTGCGCTTAGGCAGAAGAGCTGGCAGGCCGGGCGAGGAGAAAACCCGCAGACTTACTTGTTTCTTTTATGAGAGAAAGATCAGCTTCAGCCCGGATTTCTAGGCAGGGAAGCTGTAGGGGCCAGGCAACAGTTTAAGTCTGTTCCCTCCTCCTTCAGCGGCCAGTCCGGCCATTCCCACACCTCTGTGTGCTAACAGAGGCAGGAAAGCAAGCGAAACAAAGCCAAGAAACCTTTTAAAACAGAGGCTTGCAGGGAAAAAATACGTGATGGATGCGTTCCCTGGAAGGAAAAACTGGAGGGGGACAGTTCTTGGAGAGGGTAGGGGTGGGGACCAAGAGGCTTCGGTCCCGCCCTGGACCTCCCAAGAACTTCTGCTCCACTTTGGAGACACGGAAACGTTGGGCAATGCGCTCCTGCCTAGCCCAGACTTGCTACTTCCAGCCCTTTTATTCCTTTCCTAATTACTTTAAAAAACAAACAAAACGTTGGTTGGGCTCAGGCCTCTTTGTGTGTGTGTGTGTGTGTGTGTGTGTGTGTGTGTGTGTGTGTGTGTGATCCTGGGTGTGCGAAGGTTCCCCTGGAAAAAGAAGGAGGGTCTCCCCTACAAAGGCAGACCTGCTGCTCAGAGAATGAAGTGGTCTTGCAGGGCTCCTGTGGTTATAGGGTCACATAGACTGAGACCAGTGGACCCCACCAGTTAGAGAGGTACAGGATGAGGGCAGCAGGGCCTGGGCCTACAAGTGCGGAGCCTTCTTTCCCCTACACTCATCATCCTTCCCAGTGGGGGAGACCTTTGAGATCTTCCAATTCAAGAATTCTCACAAAACCCTCCGCACTGGTATCGCAGGCTTTCTCACAGTTGGACTTAATACTCAGGCTACTAGAATTTAACTTTGTCCACATCAGAGGCTTCAGGGAGGTTTCTGAACTCTCCTTCCCCTGCCCCACTTCCTGAGGCTTCCTGCCTGGATAGGAAAGGGGCCTAACCCAGCATCTGGGCAGGGTCAAGCTGAGACAGGCCCAGGTTCCAGCCCTGTACAGTACTGAACAGCCCTGAGTAAGCTTAGGCAAGTTACCTGACCTCTCAGAAACAGTTTCTACAACTGAGGCGTAAACAAGGTAACTTAGGAAAACCATTCTAGCTCCCAGGAAGAGCCACCATATGTGGTTGTAATTGCTAAAATATCTCCCATCAGGTAGTGGGGTGGAAGCCAAAAATTCTGCAGGCTGATGAGGGGAGGGACGGGGAACTGAATGGCTTGTCCATCCTCTGTGGACACCTCCTCTACTCTGTGACAGGGAGCCTTGAAGGGGTCCGTTGCCTCTTGCGTTGGCCTAAAAACTGTCCTCCTTTCTTGCTTGGAGTGAAAGGTATATTTCCCAGCTGGCCCGCTAAAGAGCCTCTCGCGTACTATTAATATGATACATAATTCTTCACACCTTGCTTGGAGCTAGAGTAGTTTCTGAGCTTTCCCATTCACTTGCCCTTGATCTTTTTCTAGGAGGTGGCCTCCAGGACCTTCAGCTGGAGAATCTCAGCAGCTTTCCCCTCCTGCATGGCTGTGCTTCTGGTTAACAGGGTCTTTGCCTCTAGACTCTTCCCTCCCTTTGCTCCTGTGCGCCTGTGTAAGTCCAAACTGCAGGAAGAGAGACCTTTCTAAACTACAAATCCACAAAATGAGTCATGACATTTGCCTGCTTAACCCTTCACTGGCAAAAGCCATACTCCTTTGTGTGGTGTTGGAGGCCTATGTGATATGGCCTCCTGGCCTCTACCTCTGACCACCCCTCTTCATCTCCAAACCTCCACCATATAGAGGGGAGGAGGGCACCCTCCATTTCTTCTAGTTTGCACCCAGGGTCCCTTCCTCCTGAAGCTCTCTGCCAAAGTCAGTCCCTCACCCTACTACAGTGTTAACTGTCACTTTGTATTTAAGAAGTGTTTTTGTGTTTTGTTTTCCACTCCCTTCACCCTTCTTGAAGTCATCCTGGCCACTGTGACATGTCAGAAAACATGCTGGGTGTTTTTAAAATCATTCAGACATTTAATCCCAACAACAACCACCTTGGGTTGATAGTGGAGAAGCCTAGAAAGTGCAAGAGGTCAACTCAGAGGTACTCGATGTTACGGTTCTGAATCGAGATGATGCCCTAAGCCTCGTGCATTCATAGGTGGGGCTTAAGGAAAACGATTGGATCACATAGTGTGATATTTATCAGTAGATTAGTCCACTGGTAAGTTTAGAACTAACTGCTTTGGGAACTGAAGCCTGGCCCGAGGAGTTGGTTCTGGGGGTGTGACCTGAAGGGTCTATCTCCTTCCATCCTGCCTAGATTGCTCTCTCTGCCTCCTGCCTGCCATACCATGTGCAATTCATGGCCATGTCCCTGCCACACTACCTTTCCCTGGGACCAGCAGACTATGGAATGAAACCTCTACAAAGTGTGAGCCAAAATAAGCCTCTAGTCCTTAGAGTTGTGGGTGTCAGGTAGAATGTCTCAGCAAAGAGAAAATCACTAAGACACAGTCTATTCTCTGCATAGCTAGGACTTAGGACTCTATTGCTCTTTCTGCTACCTTGCAGGCTCCACAAAAGGTAGACAGTGGTATAGTAGAAAGTTCAGGAAATCTAAGCGCACATTGTCGCTCTGTCTCTGGCTAGCTTGGACCTTGGGCAATGTCTTCCTCCCCTAGAACCTTAGTCTTCTGACATGTACAATGGGAAGAAGTAAGAAGCCTTGCCTCCCAGACACAGTCGGAAGATCACAAGAGTTCATGCAGATGCAAATAGGCTGTGAGCTATGGAGTGCTGTGTGCTTTTAACTCACTTACCTGGCCAGCCTCCCGTGGCCTAGGAGGGTTGCTTGAGGATCTCTTTCTTGGAGAACTCTCCAGTGGTGGTCAGAAGATATCTCTAATCTCAGTTGCTTTGCTCATTTCCCATCTTTTGAACATCTCCACAAGCCTCTGTTTTTTCCTGCTGCATTTTCTTCTTTCCGGCTGTCAGAAGACACCAGGTCCAAAGTCAGCAAAGCCTCTGGGCCACATAAGATAGAACAGAAAACAAGAACTGGAGGGAAAAGAATGTGTCTCCCTCCCCTTTCTGATTCTGTCAGTCAGGGTTGGCATGTGGCATATTTCCTAAAGTCCCTTGGTTAGGTTGAGAACTGGGGAACCTAATAGAATGTCTTAGGATTTGCAGTCCTTCCCCATACCTTCTTATTCTTAATCCTCTGAGCAAAGTTCTTCGGTAGTTGATTATTACCTCTATTCTACAGATGTGGAAATGGGTTTGGAATGCCTGATTGACGGCTGCACAGCTGGACCTTGAGACTGGCTCAACGAGATAATTCCAGCCAGGTCTAGTTTCACGTGCTGGCCTTGCTGATGTCTCAGCAGTCACTGTATGACAAGCACTCCTCCCTCCTGCTAGATCCAGTGGGCCCTAAATATTTCTCTCCCACTCTCCCACCCTCAAGCTTTTTCCCCTGCCTGGAATGCTTTTCTCAGCCCATTCCACCAGCTGCAGTCTCCACTGCTTTCCAAACCTGCCACCTCCTTCGCAAAGACATTTTCATTTCCCACGGTTTCTCTTCCACTGAGTCTGAAGGCACTTGGTTTGTGGCTCAGCACAGCCTGTTCTACAGTCCTGCCTGCTTCCTGCCTCCTGAGGCTCTGCATCCTCACCTGTTAGGGCTCCCCGCAGATGTTGGCAGTTCAAGATCTTTGCTCTTTCAGAAATGTTCCTTGCCCCACCTTAGATCACTTATTTCAACTTTGACTCAGGTATCACCACTTCAGGAAGACCCCTTTCTGGGCTCCCTGTCCTCTCTGCTGTCTTGGTATGCTGAGGAAAACTCCGTTAAGAACATGATGGTTCAGGCCATCCAAATAGCAGATTAAAGTGCCTGCAAGCAGGCCCAGGGGCCTGGGGTTTGATCCCCTGGCCTGCCATGCCTGCCCTGTCCCTGGGGCACACTGAGACAGTAATTGAGACCATGTGGTGGCGTGTGCCTATAATCCTCACTCTTGGGAGCTGGTAAACAGGGGAATCACTAAAGTCTGATCTAGTAGTGAGACCATGAACACCCTATAGGCCCTTCCCTAAATAGAAAAAAAAAAAAGAATATGATGGTTCAATCATTGATTCTATTGTGGTTTGTGTCTAGTTGTTCCCCCAAAGCCTCATGCACTCATGGGGTGGAGACTTCTAGAGTTTGAGATTAACTCATGATCCACTGGGATTATGGATTTTAGTACTTCTGGGATTATGGGTGAGTACTTCCCCCAGCCTAGGGTAGATAGCCTGAATGTAACACAAGAGAGACAGATTGCCTCTCTCTGTTGCTATCTTTGGTGCTACTCCTCCACTTTGCTCTTTTGCTCTTTGCTGTCACCATGAATGGATGCTGTCTGCCATGTGCCGCTTTGTCTTGGAGCCAGCTGACTATGGACTGAAACCTCCAGTAACTGTGAGCTAAATGAACCTTTCCTTCCTTCATTTTGAGTGTCAAGTATTTGTCTTAGCAATGAGAGAAGAGTAACTGAGACAGATTTATTCATTAAGGCAAGGTGCATTCGTTGGAGCTGAATCCCTAAGGTTTAAATCCCAGCCTCAGAATGGACAAGTTCTTACCCCAGTCTCTCTCTGCCTTACTTTTATCTGTAAAGTGAAGGAAATAAATAACTCCTACTGCAAAGGTTGAATAAAGATTAAATGAATCAATCTATGTAGACTATTTCAGACAGAGCCTGCAATATAGTAGGAGCTTGATGAACATTGTTAACTACTTTTACGGTTTATTAATTCATTCTACATCACAGGAACATTTCCTACATTTTTTGTACATACGGAAGAGGATTCTAGGAAGGTAACAGTAGGAAGCCTCAAGACATCCTCCTACTGAGACAGTTGCTGGTAGAAGCTGTCTGCTATGACTGCTTTGGAACTCTAGGGTCTACTGTATTCTTGAAAGTTCAAAGGGCTTATTAGACAAGAAATTGAAGCTAGTTCCTTTTTTTGTTTGTTTTTTAATTTGTTTGTTTGTTTATTTATTTGGCACAGGGTCTCCCTAGCCCGGCATACAGTACTGGGGATAAAACTGGGGTGCTTGTGCTTGCCAGACAGGTGCTTAGACCACTGAGCTATCTCCCCAGCCCCTGAAGCTAATTTCATTTAGTTCATTTTGCAGTATAGTTGTAGCTAGTCCTGCAGCTGTGCACGTATACCTGGAAAAACCTGCACACAGCCTGTGAGAACCAAGGGAGCATGGGAAGGACACTGTCCTGAATGCTGGGACCGGAGCTCTGGTTCTGATTGCTGTCTCTGATCAAAAATATGAGGACAAAGAAGCAATAAATTTTGTTGTTGGACCTTCCAAGTGCTGCAAGACCCTTTCCTCCAGCTAAGACAACTTCTAGGGAATCTGAAGAGCTGCTGTTCTCCACCATGGTTTTTTTGTTTTGTTTTGTTTTTCTTTTCTTTTTCTCTTTGAGAGCTAGATTAGCCCATTTAAAGGCAATTGATAAAAAATAAAGTAAAACAAAAAAGGGAAAATAATGGAAGTAACCATTAAAAGAGCCAGGAAGAGCATTAGTTTATATTACATCTCAGGCTGGTTATCAGTAGGAGGATGTCTTGAGGCTTCCTATTTTTTTTTTTTTTTTTTTTTTTTTTT